GTTTGACTCCAAAGACAAGGGAAGTAAAAGCAAAAATAAATGAATGGGACTACAACAAACTAAAGAGCTTCCACACAGCAAAAGAAATCAACAACAAAACAAAAAGGCAACCAATCAAATGGAAGACAATATTTACCAATGATAGCCCTGGTAAGTGGCTAATATTAAAAAAATATAAAGATCTCATACAACTCAACAAAAACCAACAACAATCAATCCAATTAAAAATGGGCATAAAACCTGAATAGATACTTTTCCAAGGAAAACATGCAGATGGCTAACAAATATACGAAAAGATTCTCAACATCACTAGTTATAAGGGAAATGCAAATCAAAACCACAATGAGATACCATTTCATACCTGTTAGAATGGTTATTATTAATACAACAAGAAAACAAGTATTGGAGAGAATGTGGAGAAAAGGCAACCCTGATATACTGCTGATTGGAATGTAAACTGATGCTGCCACTGTGGAAAACAGTATGGAGGTTCCTCAAAAATTTAAGAATAGAGCTACCATATGACTCAGCAATCCCTCTTCTGGGTATCTGTAGGAAAAACTGGAAAACACTTATTTGTAAAGATATATGCACACTTGTGTTCATTGCAGCATTATTTACAATAGCCAAGACATGGAAACAACCTAACCATCCTTCGACAAACGACTGGATAAAAAAATGTGGTACAAATATGCAATGGAATATTACTCAGCCATAACAAATGAAATATTGTCATTTGTGACAACATGGATGGATCTTGAGAATATTATGCTAAGGAAAATAAATCAGTTTGAAAAAGACAATATAAAACAAAAAGTAACAAATGAACGAACAAACACACACCATCCCCTCCCCCAAACACAATCATAGTTGCAGACAACGGAATGGTGATTACCAGAGGGGAAGGGGTTGGGAGGAGGATGAAGAGAGTAAAGGGGGCCAAATATATGGTGATGGAAGGAGACTAGACTTCAGATGGTGAGCACATAGAGTATACAGATATTGTATTATAAAGTTGTACCCATGAAATTTATTTAATGTTATTAACCATTGTTACCTCAATAAATTTAATTGTTAAAAGATTTATTTTAAAAAACACTGCATCAAATATCTGCGTAGAGTCATCTTCCTTCATCCCCAGTTTTGCTTTCTACATTTTCAGTTACTCAGGTCAATTGGGATCTGAAAATATTAAATGGGAAATTCTAGAAATAAACAATTCATAAGTTTTAAATTGTGTGCTGTTCTGAATAGTGTGATGAAATATCCTGTAGTCCCGTTTAGTCCCACTCTGGATGTGGATAATTCTTTTATCCAGCTTGTGTATGCTATAGACGCTCCCTGCCCCTTAGTCACTTAGTACCCATCTTCGTTAGCAGATGGACTGTCAGGGTATAGCAGTACTTTTGTTCAGGTAACCCTTATTTTACTTCATAATGGCCCCAAAGACATTTATATAACTCTTATTACAGTATATTGTTATAATTGTTCTATTTTATTAATAGTTATTGTTGTTAAGCTCTTACTGTGCCTAATTTATAAATTAAACTTTAGCATAGGTATGTATGCATAGGGAAAAACACAGTATATATAGGGTTTGATATATCTGTGGTTTCAGGCATCCAGTAAGGGTCTTGGAACATATCCCCTGTGGATAAGTGGGGATCTACTCTATATAAATCTTTGTAACTGTCTTTGATTACTTTATTAAGATAAGTTCTTAAGAGTAGATATATTGGATTAAAAAGCCCACATTAGGATCCTGGTACATATCTCCAACTTTTGCCTTCCTCATTGTATTGATTACATTTCTATCAGCAGTGATCGAGGATGTCCATCACATCTCATTCTTGTCAGTGCTCTGTCATGTTATTCAACTTTTTGTCTATTTTATTTGTTATCTTTTAAACAGATTATGATCTCCTTGAGCAGGTGCTGTGGGCATCTGCTTTTTTACATCCTCCACAGAACATTGCTTGATGTCATTCACACAGTAGCCCTCATACATATTTGCTAAATGAATGAATTTCTATTCACAACTATCCCTCTGGGGTTAATAATAGAGAAGGTACTTGAACAACCGCTTTCAAACTGGTCAAATTGAGAGAGAGGTGTATATATACTTGCCTTTATCTCCCACTGAGATGAACTGGGTAGAAAAGTATTAAATCACAGGCAATTGGCTCATGGTCAAGGGATTTGGACAAGGGAATGAGTCAGAGAGAGAAATGTATTATTCAGGGTCAGCTCTGCAGCATGTTTGAAGCTGACTTTCTGCACCACTATCCATTTTTCCTTCGTAAGTGGGTGTGGACAGGGGCGGGATCTGCTGTCACAACTCAGCAGAATGAGTGGAATTTTCCAGATGGTTCCTCTTGATGGCTGTTGGCATACTTACAGCTTTGCCCTCTGGGAGGCATTAGTCTTCGGGCCCTGAAGCCCAGACGGCTGTTTCAGCAGGTCAGACTGTGGGATCTCTGTGTTTCGTTGGCATAGAGAGCCATGTAGGATTTCAAGTCATAAATACCATTTTTATTTTTCTTGTACTAGCTCCCAACTAAAAGCTTTGAGCAGGGGCTCAAGTGAGGAAAGTGTGTTATTCTTCCCTTTCCCTCCAACCCCCAAGAGCCACCCCCCACACCCTCCCCAAATAATGTGTGACCCAGATAATTCCCAGCCATTGGGCACCTCGCTAAAGGCTCAGTTTGGGGACATCTTCTGGGAATAACACATTGCTTTGGAATTTTTTCTAATCTGCATACCCATTGTGAAAATGGACACGCCCCCTCCCCTGTTTCCAGGGCCCTCTCCCTGGGATAGTTCTTTTTGTTTTCAGGTAAAGAGGCTTGAAGTATGAAAGCTTGCAATGGATATGGGGACACCTGAGCCCATATCTCAGTGTTACAATTTCACCTGCTCATTTGTGAACTGAATACCACTTTTATAATACCCAGTGAATACTGTTGTCCCGGGAGGCAGGTGGTGTAAACTGAAGGGGCAAATCCGGACTGATACACATGCTCATGAATGGAGAGGTGGTTTGCCCTATTGTGATGGGCCGGTTTGCTCCCCTATTCCCCACAGCTATCAGAAGCTGTCTTTTAGAGCCTCCTGCCCCTAGAGATCACAGTTTCTTTAACCTATGGGTTGGAAGACTTCTTAGAATTAGTTATTGTCACTGTGGCAGAGATGGTAGATCAGCATAATTCCTAGTGTGCAGAGGTTGGAAAATGTAAAACTTCATTTCCCAGACTCCCTTGCAGTTAGGGTTTAGATGTGACTGAGGTTCTGCTAATTAGATGCACTTTTTTAGACTGGGATGTGGGAGCCAAATCCTGCGTGGAAAGGGGCAGGGAAATGGGTACCTGTACTTGCTAGTGTGCACTGTGGTTTCCCAGTTCAGCAGGCAGCTTTCTGAGCCAGCAGCTCCCTTACAGCCCAGTTACGGCATGGATTTGGGAGTCAATCCTGGAGTCAGTTTCTTTCTCTTCTTCAAAAAAAATTTATTTTATTTATTTTAAAAATATTTTTTACTTTATTGATTTTAGAGAGGAAGGAAAAAAGAGAGAGAAACTTCGATGAGAGAGAGAGCATTGATTGGCTGCCTCCTGCATGCCCCACACTGGGAATCAGGCCCACATCCTGGGCATGAGTCCTGACCGGGAATCAAACCAGCAACCTCTTGGTGCATGGGTCAATGCTCAACCACTGAGCTACACCAGCCGGGCTGGAGTCAGTTTTTTAGCTAGCCAACTTCCCTCTTCCATTTAATATCTTGTAATAAATTCTTCTCCTTTATGAACTTGCTAATAGAATCCCATAGGCTGCAAAGCTATGAATTGTCTTACCTTCTTCATTTGATGTTGAGACAAAATTGAATGGTTGAAATTTTATCTTTAACATAATTTCACTGGATTTATTTTCCCCAAAGCCAGTTTGGGCCCATCCTGTTCTTTTTTGTATGCTTTTTCTTGTGATGGTAGATGACCTTATTTTGGACTTTTCCCCAGAATTATGTTGACGTGTCCAATCATAACAATACATGTTTCTATCTTCATGACCTATTATTTATTGTTTATTTTTTTATTTCTCACCCGAGGATACTTTTCTATCATCAGATAGAGTGGGAGGGAGGGAGAGAGAGAGACAGAGAGAAGTATCAATGTGATAGAACCACACTGACCGGTTGCCTCCCGCACGACCTGACCAGGGCCAGGGATGAACTGCAACCGAGGTCTGTGCCCTTGACCGGAATCGAACCTGTGACTCACTGGTCCGCGGGCCAACCCTCTATCGCTTAGCCTAACTAGCCAGGGCATTCATTGACCTATTTAATTAGAACAACTTCATATGTCAATTCATACATCGCCTCTCTATAGAGTATTGTGTTATTCATAAGCACATCGCGTATTATACATATATGCTGAAGCTTGTAAACAGGCACAGAAAGGGCTGGGAGAAAGTTTGCTCTTTATCAAGACATTAGTCCTAGCACTTCAACAAAAAACACTACCCCAGCTCATAAGTTATGCTAGTCTATTTCCTGACCACTCACTAAATGTTAATGTGATATTGTTATTGAGGCATCACACTAGACTCTTCATTTTTTAAGTTGCCTTATGGATTTATTTTTCTCCTAGAGTTTGCTGAAACTTTGCTCTGAAAAATTGATTCAGACATCTCAGGCATCCAAAGTGCTGGTTGGAAAGGCACTGATTTACCTGGGCAGGACTGTGCTCAGTAATTATAAAATTAGAATGTATTCCTGAAGTGCCTTTTCTTCATCCTTGGCGTTTTGGTCCTCTGGCTAGACATAGCAACAAGGGCAGATCACTTAGAGGAGTTCGGCTCCACGCCTGGGCAGGGAGTGCTCTCCCGATTTGTTGATTCTGTGGCAAGAGCCCTGCTGTGAGCTGGCGGCCCAAGGACATTCAGTTTTTATATCTTTTAAAATGAAGCAGGGGAACGAGCATTTCTGAAGCAGTAACACACATCCTGTCTCAAATTAGGAACTAAAAAAGAAATTTGTTTATTGAGGGCAAGAGGATACAAGCAATATAAAAATCAAAAACTTATCTGGCTTTAATTGGCTTTTCTTTTTCTTGTTGAACGGAGGTGGCATTTTATTTGTACATTTTTTTAAGGGTCGCAATCTGCTCATGAAATCCTTATACAGGGGGAAGCTGTGGGGCACATATTCCTTAAGCGACCCATTGGGAGAATTCTTATCAGGGCGGAAGTAACTGCTCGGTGCTGCCTACTTCCTTCCCTTCTGCTTCATGTGTACGACAAAATAGTCATTGCAGGCGATGGTGAGCCCAGCGATCAGCGAAAAGAAGCTCTGGAAGCCCACTCTGCCGTCTCGACACTGGTCCAGGTCCTTCATGATTTTGTCTATGGCCAGAGGGTCTTTTTGATTCTGAAAAGAAGAACAAAGGTAAGAAATATCAGTCGATGGTTGCAATGACCTTTGATACGTACTGCTGACAACCAGGTACATAATCTCTTTATCTAAATTCTTGTTTAAGTGATCTTTGGAGGTCATCTAAATGGATTTCGCTGCCTGGAGGGAGAATTTCAGTAAACTGTCATTTATTTTAAACTAGGAAAGTGGTTTCCATGGCATTTTTTTTTCATATAATTATAGGGACCTTAAAAATGGCCTATTCTGTGCCAGCCAGGGTAGACCCAAGCCTCCAATTCTCCATCCACTGCTGTCGCCTGTTAGAACCAGCATGGCCTTCTGACCTGCTTTGCCTCCAGGTCAACTATTGCCATAGTTCCTAAAACCATGAGATTCTGCCGAAGAACCACCTGAAACTCCCCATTTGGTATTTTAAACTTCCATTCTCTTAACACACCTTTATTCCTGACAGCCAAATCCTTTAAAAATAAAACTCGTAAAAAAAGATCTCATAAGATCATTTAGGGAGTAAGTTTCAGATCATTATCCTATGGATTTTAAAGAGGTGCTAATGATGCATGGGATGTGTCACCTTTGGAGAAGACAGGTAGATTGCCCTCATTTCTCTTCGTTTCTTGGCACAGAGCAGGCCAGCTGGTGTGGCTTCCTATCATGTTAGTCACGTAACCTTGAGCAAATCACTCTTAGCAAGCCTTCGTGTATCAACTGCGAATGGAGGAGGTTGGACCAGTGTCTCCAACATCGCTGCCATTCGTAGTGAGTTGGTAAATCTATGCCGTCCTACACTCTTCACTGGATTCCTTCAAAGGGAACATGTGTGACGGAGTCATTAAACTCTCCATGACTCTCAATGTCTGCCATGAATGTGAGGGACTGGGGGGGCAGGCAGGAGCCTTTTTGCTTTTTCTTTCATCTTGCTTCCATGGCGACTGGCTTAGTCACTCCTTTTTGTAGTGATGATGGTTAGAAGTGAGAGTGTGGTCTATCCTACAGGAGCTATGCTGTCCAACAGAGAGGAAAACACGGCCTCTTAGAAGTGTGAAAGGACTCAAGTAAAGTATTTATGAATTCCACTGATGGTATACATGAAAGGGAGTCGGCACTCAGTGTCTCAGGTGTGCTAGATGTTCACAAATTGCACTAAAAAAAACCCCTTAAGGTAAAGCAGCAGCATTTCCTACACAATGGCTGCAAACTCCTACCGTAAGCAAACAACTAAAACCTGCTCTCTGCAGCCACCTCTGCTTTGGGTGGGCTTCAGTTAATTTTGGCCTCACCTCCAGCTTCCTGGCTGTGGTCAGAAGGAGTAAAATTTGGAAGACAGAAGGAGTCAGCTTTAGAAACAAAATGCTCTGTTAACGAGTGTGGGTGTGCCTGGAATCATGACTCCCTGCCCGGAATAAATTACACTGCCATGCTCAGTACTCTGTGCTACCTACATGCTTTATGTTTCTCGTGCCAGAAAGCCTTTAGGGAAGAAGGGTCTGTATCTCATGTGATATTCATCCTGACTTCTAACTTGTGCAACATGACTGATGAGTATTTAGTGTACTGAGACCGCTTTTGGTCATGTGATGGGCGGGCTTACAATAAACATATTTTGTCCTTGCATGTTACGGTTGCCTGGAAGAATCACAGAAAGTGACGTGACCTTGGAGATAGTTACATCCAGCCCTCTCATTTTACAGAGGAGGGAACGGAGGCCCAATCATCTAAAGCAACCTACCCAGTGTTAACTAACTCCTGGTCTGGGGCTATGTCATAGGACTGTACAGAAGCAGAGTAACAGTGTATTCTAACTCATTCTGGGGTACCATTGTGGTAACTGCAGCTCTGAGAGACTGGTTAGGCTATTTATAACTTGTTTATTTAATGGTATTGACATGTAAAACCATAGTGTACTACAGAACCCTGTGTTTACTGAGTCAGGGGCTTGACTAATGTGGTATTGCCCAGGCAGATGACAAGAGGCAGGACCCAGCCTTCTACCACCATCTCCCTTCACCCTCCAGGCTAAGGCATTATTCCACACCAAGCTCAGTAACGATCTTTCCAAGTGACTCCACTTGTGGCAGGAAAAGGACTTGCTAATATTTTGTCAAGCAATGTTTCACCTTCCATAAAATGCAACAGCCGTCTCTTGAGGGCCTGCAATGTGAAAGGACAACTGTGCCTCGAAGCCTAACGCCCTGAGGGGTGTGTGGCAGAGTCCCCTTCTAGTCGTCAGATCCCTCAGTCTAATAAAGGGAGGCTGAGCTGGGCTCCTGTTCTCACAGTATTTTCAATATGAAAAGCGATTATTTCTGGAGTGACACCCAGCTCTCATTCAGCAGCTGCTGGGCACCATTTCTTTAGATTAGAGTTGCAAAAAAAAGTCTTCAAAGCATTTATCTGAGGGGATTTAAGAAGGCAGTTCAAGCTGCTCAGAGCGAATGTGACTGGGATGTGGCACCTCCAATGCCAGGTTTACAGACCTGAGGGCAACCAGGTGGCCTTGGTGGTGACTCTTGTGAAAGGCTTTTCCTGCAACTCAGTCTCAGAGGACGCAGATGTTTCCAGATGGGCTCTTTCGAACAAACACCTCGTGGTGTGTGTGTAGTCTCATTTCACTTTCCAATTTTAAGCTCCTTGAGGGAGGGACTGTGTCTTCTTTACCTTCTGTTCCCCTACCGTATCTTACAAACAGTAGATGCTCAATCATGTTTAATGAATAAATGAGTAAAGACACCTTTCTAGTAGGGGCCTCCACAGGGTAGGGATGGGGAGAAGGGAAAGGAACCAGGGCCTACAAGCACTGAGTTTCATGTCTGCTTCTTTCTGAGCCTCTCAAGACTTACTTCCAAAAATCCAGGGAACTCCTTTTCCATGAGTACTCTCAGGTCCTCCTTTGTTAAGTAGCCTTTATCCCCAGCAAATTTGTGAAATGTGAACATCATGGTTTCCATGGCGTGCTCCATTTGAGATGGCATTTTGGTGAGGTCTGTTGAAACAAAGTAAAGGGTGTAAAGAAAAAGAGTTTACATTAACATTTTAAAAAAGAATTTGTATTGATTTTTGGAGAGAGAGGAAGGGAAAGGGAGAGAGAGAAACATCTGTGTGAGAGCGACACATGAATTGATCGGCTGCCTCCCACATAGCCCCCCACTGGGGATGGAGCCCACAGCCTGGGCATGTGCCCTGACCAGGAATCAACCCAGCAACCTTTTGGTACATGGGACAACACCCAACCAAATGAGCCACACCAGCCAGGGCTACATTAACTTTTAAGCTATCTATATTGCCAGTCTTTTGAGAGTAATTGGAAGGAGGGTGATTAGATCATCCATTTGATTCTTTCCAGCTGTAAAATTCAGTAAATCTAAGAACTAATTCCCCCCTGGATTGGGCCTCCTCTGAAGGAAATAGGCACCACAGGTATTGATGCTCTGAATGAGGGATTTATCTAGTTGCCCACCAATTCTGCGTAAGTCACCTAATGAAAAATAAAACCTCTAATCATTTGGAAAAGCAAGACCAGTATCCCTCTGTTTAACTGACAAAGTACCTATTGAAAACATATATGTTTCAACATTTCTCTTGGCGCTGGTAAATGAGACTTTTAGATATTATGGAATACCAACAACCCACACAGTCAAGCCTGGTGAATACGAAAACTTCATCTCTCCAAGCGTAACTGGCTAATCTGGTTCAGTCTAGTTCTAAGGTTTAGAAATCTGCTTACGAATAAATTTTGTCTGCTGGGTATGTATTCTTTACTAAAGCTTTGAACTTGTTAGTGATTGTAACAAAGACATTTATTTGCATCTTTGGTGGTAAATGTAGTTGTCCTACCTGAATAAAAACTTCGCAGAGCTCATTATCTAGTTCCTTGAGAAGAAAGAAGTACAGTATTATCCTAACCCCTTTGGAGACCTGATATATTTTGGGCAACAAGGACAGAAGAGTTACTTTCACAGTCTGGGGTGCAGTGGGAAGGCTGTGAGGAATTCCTCATCACGAGGAATTTAAAAGAAAGGAAAGGAAACATGTCAGATTATGTTTAAGTATAATGGTTTGGGGATATATGTCTCATCAATACCCAGTGCTTCGTCCTTGATAGAAGCTCAGTGGATTTTGGCTTACTTGGAAGGAATGCTTTGGCCAGAATAGAGCCGCTTTGGCTAACCGTCTAAAATCATTACTGGATAGGAAAGAGGTGAACTTGAATGGAGACTGTAATATGCCATTTTCTAAACAAACAACAACAAAAAAACACAAGAACAGGTTTTGAGCACAGGTTGAAGGAGAGACCAGCACCTTCCCCTGCTAGGGAGTGCCAATAGCACACAGGCGTTCAGTCTTGTTTCTGCTGCTCACAGGTGCGTTTTCAACACAGATCCCGAAGTGGAGAAGGTGGAGTTGGTGAACATGAGGACTGAGCAATATACTTACGAATAGTAAATCCTACCCCTTAATACCCAGAAAAGTACAGGAATCAGCATGCCACAGAATGTTCTACTCTAGAGAGTGCTATAAACCAGAATCTGGCATGATTCATCTGGAAGGCAGTTATCTTGGAGAGAACAGCAAATTAATGCTTAAGGCTCACTGTGAGATAAATTCCAGGGGACCCAGACACTCCCTTGTCCCTCTCTTCCGGTACAGTTGGGTCTGGCTCGTGCCTATCTCCCGTATGATTTCAGATGGCAGTGGGCTTAGATGGAGTCGGCCTTTCCTGGATTAGTTCTGGATGCATTTTTTTTTTTTTGGTACATGCCCCTAGCGGGAACCGAACCCAGGACTCTCTGGTCCGCAGGTCAATGCTCCAACCGCTGAGCCAAACCGGCCAGGGCTCCTGGATTAGTTCTGGAAGGCCAGCAATTTAAGAGAACTCAACTGAGTGAGTCACCTTTGGGAGAAGGATGTGGGATCCCGCCCCAGTTCTGAATACCCCAGGAAAGCAGTTGGTCTCCACAGAGATTTAAAAATACCTGTGCCCAAGCTCAGAGCAGCACAGCAACTCATGACAAATTCCCAAAGGTTCCAGACATTGGAACTGGTGGTGGACCCTAGGTCACTTTCTTCACGGCGCAGAGCAGGAGGCAAGTGCCCTGCAAAGCCAGAGCAAGGACCCCTAAAAATAGGAAACCAGGCTAATTTAGGAACTTCTGAGGAAAATGGGTTGTAAGCTGAGCAACTTTTGGCCATCCTTGAGTATCTTCTTCAAGAGGGTGAGGACAGTCTTCCCTTAGCCAGCACTGAGGTCCGTGCTCATCATGAAGTGACAGAGCAGTCCTCTCTGAAGCCACACCCCTGTCCCCCTGGACCTCTCCCCGCTCCTCTTTCCTCCTGTTTTGTTCAGCAAATGGGCTGTAAATACAGCAGCCAGCTGACTATGTTTGTCTTACATTTGCAATAAGAATACAGAACAGGGACTAGCCAGATCTAAGGTCATGAAGGTAAAAATAGCTTTGAAAACCAGATGAGATGTCCACTGTCTCCTCAGTAACCTTGGCCCCAGAGGGCACTGACCAGGGTTACTAGCCAGTTAACTCTGGTTTGAAGGAAGAGCCGGTGCATTGGTTTTTCAGTAAGATGAGAGAAAGGGGGGGAATGTTAGGATTAAAACTGTTCTCTGGGTAGTGGATGGACCAAGTGGCTCTTCTCCAAGAGCAGCAGTTGCCTCCCTGAGTCAGCGAGGCCAGCCCTTCCATCTTGGGCGGGGCTTGCCTGGGTGGGGCTGACTGCATCTCAGACCGTTGGTTGCTAAAGCAGCAGTTCAGGAGCTTGAACCTGGGGTTTCCATCCCCTCACCCTCCCACATGCTCCACGTGGGTGGGGTGGGACTCTTGCTTCTAGTTTGGGTACACTTTTCACCAGAGGGCCTTGGGCCTGGGGCTAAGAGGCAGTGATGTCTTCTCTGTGCCCCGGGCAACCTACTCCTGCACCTGAAACACTCGATCCATCTATTTGTTCACCTGTCTGTCTCTCTACCTGGGATAAGAACTCTGAGTTACTCTGTTCTATCCACGAAACACTAAACTAGTGTTTACGAAATGACAACGAATGAATCAAATAATCCCCTTGGCAGGTGTGATCACCCACGTCTGAGCGGAACACCTGGTAGCTCAAGCTCAGCAGGACACGGGGAAAGGGGCCTGGAAGGGGCTCAGGGAGCGGAACAGCAGAGCACAGAGGAAGGCACATTCCCTAAGCGGGGAAATATGCATCCTGCTAAACAGGTCTGGTCAGACCCAGGCTGACTCCTCTTTCTCTTTCCACTCGTGGTTTTTCTGTGTTTTGGTCCATCCTAATTTCGATCTCATGCTTCTCCAGCTCTGCTCTCTCACTGTGAGCTCCACTGGATGTAACTACCTCATTGTTCACTCATTTTTTTTTATTGAATAATTTTATTCTGATATCTGTATGAGTCTTAAGAGTGGAGAATTGGAAGTCCATAGTATTTCTCTGTGTAGTTTTCTCTACATTAAAGAATTCTGGACTCCACAAATGTAGAGAATTTAATTTTCCATTTTCTGATCTCCTTCCTACACTTTGCATGTCCTGGTCATATGTCAGAGACAGACAGACATGCACACACACTCACTCTGTAGTGCTTGCCTTTGGGAAGTTCACCAGCTAATGGCATATTATTTAAAAATATGTCATAAACTCTAGTTAACTGTGTTTGTTCCTTTCCCCACTAAATTTTGGGCTCCTTGAGCAGGGTCCCAGTGGGTGGCACCCTGCCTTACTAGAGCCTGCTCAAGAATCAGTAAGAATGAAATTGATAATAATGTCAATTTTGATCGTCCTAGGAGTAGCAGGGAAGCAGGAGGCCTCCTTACAAAAGTGCTTGCTCCTGAGCAATCCCAAATGTTTGCTCTGGACCCAGGCCCAGATCTAGTCCGCAATTTCAAAAAGGACCCTTCTGAAGAGCAAGAGGTTTGATTTACTTTGCTCGTCCGTACTAGTTTTCTCACAGCCCACCCAGGAAATAATTGGCAGGGTGTCAGTAAAAACAAACATCTATTATTTAAAACGTGTTTGAGGTTTCCTTCCTTTTGCCTCAGAGATTTTGAAGAGAACACCCCCCCCCCTTAAATTAAACCCAGAAGGCATTCTTGAACTTGATCCCGAAAGGAAATTAAGAAAAACTGATTTGAATGGGTCTGGATCCAGGCTGTGTCTCCCACCTTTCACCAAACATAAAAACGTGCCCACTAGGAAAAGGAAAAGTTCCAGGTGCAATCCAATAGGAAGAAAGAATACAGAAGACGTCTCTACCCCAACGCTGTACATCTATCTACTCTTCCTTGAAGAGCTGTCAGGCACCAGCCGGAATTGTCAAACAATAGGCATTGTGATAACTGCTATTAAATCCATTGGTGGCTATTTAGTAAAGGGCATAGAAGTGCTGAATATAGTTAAAAATAAGTAATTCTTGTTGCTTTTGATGTGATATTCCTACATTGTTGAATGCCCAGGAAAATGAAAAGCTAGGATCCTAAAACTTCCTTCAGTCCAGCTTTCCCAGCACCCTGAGTGCTAATTTATACATTATAGCCCTGAAAGGATTCCATTGTTTTTCCCAACTTTAAAAGATTGGACAGTAGCCAAGGGCATACCAAGTGGGTAGTGCTCTAAAACAGTCACATTTTTTGAACTGTCAGTGGAAAGCAAGGAGGCACCCAGTCTCAACTCTACCCAGCCAAGGCCTGATTTCACTGGGGTTGCTGCTTGAGAGACTGGCTAGAAGCCAGACATGGGAGGGAAAGGGCCCCTCTGATGCGGTATGCAAGAAACATCAGGGGAGAGCATCCATCACCTAGAAATCAGGATGCTTTGTGCCCAGTGGACTCTCAAGAAAATTTAAGGAACTGAAATATGAAACTCCAAATGGTGGATCAAGGACCATGATGAAGAAGGTAGCTTAGGGTTGTCGAGAAAGGTATATACCATTTAGAAGAGGTGATTAAATAAAAACTGGACAGGAATCTGTGGGGGCAGGGTTGATAAAGAAATTTCAAATGAGTTATATGATCGCATTCCTGCCCCAACCCCTGGCATTATCTTTTGCAATTTGCTGAAACACGTTAGAGGCAAAGATCACTGATAGGGTGTTTCCATAAGCCTGGCCTCACCTGAAGTGCAGGATATAAAAATCCACTGCTGCAGGTTGAAACTCAAGCTGCAGGACAGTGGGGTGGGGTGGGGGAGGGGTGCAGACCTTTAAACAGAAAAGCTACCTCCCCAGCAAAGCTAAGGCAGCCTGCCAACAAGTGTAAGGCAGATAACCCAGCAGTAGTCTCACGATGGCCTTGCCAGTCTAATTGCTGCCCTCACCCACAGTTCAGTCAAGAAACTGTCTCTCCTTCAGATTGCTGGCCAGTCCCGGTGTGACTCACTTCCTCTTGGAAAATGCCCTCTAAGATGGCACAGTTCCCCTTTCCCTTCAGGGAGTGTTCTGTCCAAACCATCTGCAGAGAGTAGCTAGAACCATCAGGGCCACACCCACATGGTCTCATGGCTGAGTCACAGGCCTCTATCCACTACCAGAATCCTGGAGCCCTTTGTGCTAACCACGCCCTGCAGAATGCTCCCAGCTCCCCCCTGGAGAGAAAGAGGGTGGGGGTGGGCCTAACGTATTCCAGTCTGGCCTAAAGCTGTGCAGGGCCTGGCCCCTAGTCCTCTGTGTTCCTTACCACCCCTACCAACACAGCAGAGTCTGGGTTTCAGTTAGGTGGAGCCCAGCTAAGGCTGGAGAGTGGGTATCCAGGACTGGAGAGGGTGCCATTCTTTTGGCCAGGTTCAAATATGACCAGGTACCCAACACATCTATTTCTGTCTCATTGCACTGGACCAGATTAATCTGGGTTGGAAAGTTCTTCACCAAGTCTACTCTTCCCCTATTTCTTTTTAGTTACACTTGTTTAACTAAGGTAAAAAAAAGGGGGGAACCCTGTCTGGAGAAATCACTGAACACAGTCCCCCCCCCCCCCAACCCTGCAAAACTGCTTTATAAAGAAATCAAATAGACCTCGTCCCTCAGCAGTAAGAACCATCATGCCAGCAGACAAACAACAGGAAGCTCAACCTGAAGCTTCTGGGCCAGAGGCTGAGGAGTGCCCTTTCGGAATGGTATCCACAGCTGCCACCCGCTCAGCTTACCAGCGAACCCCAGCCCGCCTGAGCCTGCTCTGGAGGTCCAGCTGGGAGCATACGAAGAGCTGGACAGAGGTCAGCCTGCAGCTGGAGCCCACAAAGAAACATGCCGCCAGGACAAGCGGCCAGAAGCAGGGGTTCAGATAACTGGGGAGACCAGGCGAAAAGTAGGCAAGTAGGAGTAAAGAAGGAAACAGAGAGATCAGACCCCGGGACACCAACACCTAAGTCCAGTAATAAAGGACGAGTGCCCCCTCCTTGGGTCGCAAGAAACTGGGGAGGGGTTGTGCCAGGGTGCTTCTCCCCTCGCCTGGGCGTGGCCAGAGCACGGGTACCCCCACCCGCCCACACCCCCGCGCTGGGATACCCCGCGAAGCCGGGCCAGTGGGCCCGAGGCGCCAGTGAGGGGCTTGGGCCGGGGCCGGGGCCGGGGCCGGGGCGGGGGCCGGGCGCGGCGGGCCGCACTCACCTTGGCGGGAGGCGCGGCGGGATCGTTAGGCAGTCTGGGACGCGCGGCCAGTGAGCAGAGCGCCGCGGGCTGGGAGCCTTAGTAGGTGGGGGTGGGGGAAGGCAGGAGGAGCCTGGGCGGGTGTCGGGCCTCGGCTCACCCCACCCCTTCTCCTCCCGCCTCTTCCTGCCCCACTACCTCCACCCGACGCCCGCCCGCCGCGCTCTCGCCCTGCTCACCCGGAGGGTGCCGAGGGACCTCGCGCCGCCCCGCCCCCAGCGACCGCGTTATCCCTCACTTCTCATCCTACACCAATACTCCTGAACCTTTCAGGACTTCCCCACCCACGGCCGTGCCTTTCCTCTGGGGTTTGGTTTTAGAGAGTGAGTGAGGAAATCAAAGAATCCAGCGGTTCTGCGGGTGGGGCGCGCTGGCCCAGAACCAGGCGGGAGCGGCTCTTCATAACGTACAGGTCTAGGAATTCTTTACCTGATGCCACTGAAAGGAGGGGCAAGTAAAGTCCCAGTGACTTGGTCCGAGGAAGTCCGTCCCGAGTGACTTTGCGGCCTGCGCCCCAGACCCGGCCTGCGCCCCGGATCCGGCCTGCGCCCCGGATACACCGGCATCTCGCAGAGAAGCGAGTTCATTGCCTCCAGCCTGCCCCGCGGGGGATAGGGACGGAGGGTGCCGTGGGGTTGTCAGCTCCAGGGGCGTTACAAACCCTTTGTTGAAAGGGATTTACTACTCTTAGCGTGCACTGGCTTCTCTGGGTCGATAATTCAGCTACAGTTGTAATTAATACTGTTAAAACTTACGTTTCAGTGCCTCCTGTTTATCCTGCAAATTGGCCTGTTGGGTCCTCAATGCCCTTTAGAAGTAATTTCTGGAAGAAATTTAGAGAAAAACCTGTGTTTCCTAGCAGATGAGTATCCCCCCACCCCCCCCATTTATTTTAATTGTGGTTTAGGGTTAAAAGCAAACTACTAGCAGCTGTTGGAGGAAAAGAGCCCAGTCTCAAGTCCTGGGTTTTCCTTTGTTCCCAAGGGAGGTCCTGGGAGAAGTGAGTGATCCCAAAGGAATGAGCAGACTCAGGGAATCCTTCAAGTGCTACTATGTGACTAATCTTGGCTCTTGCCAGGAAAACCCCACTTGGATTACAACTCTCATTCCTGCTGGGTTCCTGCAAGCCCTGTTCTGGGGAACAGTTCTTCAAAATCTTTCCATATGCTTCCAAGTTCTAACCAGGCCCCAGGTTACAGTCAAGAATGGAAAAAATCCTGGATCCCTTTAGTTCCAGGGAAGGCGCACTTGGATTTAGAATAAAAACACCTGACTCTGCCACACTCCTTATTTGATTTCTTTCTTGCTTTTTTCTTTTTTGCTTGCTTGTTTTGTTAATCCTTACTGGAGAATATTTTTTCACCATTGATTTTCAGAGAGAGTGGAAGGGAGGGAGGAAGGGAGGGGGACAGAGAGAGAAACATCATGTGAGACACATCCATTGGTTGCTCCCCGCCCCTGCACCGACCAGGGATGGAACCTGCAATCCTGGTACTGCGCTTGACGGGGAATTGAACCCATGACCCTTTGGTTGGAGGACCAATGCTCTAACTACTGGGCTACACCAGCCAGAGCTGATTTCTTCATTTGATTCATAAACCTTTGGAATGCTTAGCCTATGTGTTGGGCCCGAATAGCTTCAAGTCTTTTTGAAAAATAGATAAGCAAATAATTAAAACCCATGAGTTCAGTGAATGGTAAAGAACACTATAGGACACTAAGCTGAGGAGGGGCCTCCAAGTCCCCTTGGAGTGATCACAGAACAATTCCCTGGAGGAGTCAAATTTGATAGATGGTTTAAAAATAACAATATCACAACTATTAAATCTGCTTGTAAACAAGGTTGCATTCTTATTGTAGAAGGTTTGCAAAATATAGCAACGTATAAGAAAGAAAATGAGCCCTGGCCGGTTTGGCTCAGCGGTTGGAGCGTCGGCCTGCGGTACAGAGAGACCCGGGTACGGTTTCTGCTAAGGGCATGTACCTCGGTTGCAGTTTGTCCCCGGCCCTGGTTGCTCATGCGGGTGGCAGCCACTCGATGTGTCCCTTCACATCGATGTTTCTCTCTCTCTCTCTCTTCCTCTCTCTCCCTCCCACTCTATCTGAACAAAAAATGGAAAAATGTCCTCGGGTGAGGATAAAAAAAAAAAAGAAAATGAAATTATTTGTAAATGCACGAACTAAAGATAAATATTTTCATATATTTTCTTCTAGTCTTTTTATGCATATTTAATATATTTACATAATTTGGGGATTTCGGGGTTTTTAAAAAAATAATTAAACACAGAAGGCATTCTTGAATTTGATCCCTAATGGGAATTCAGAAAAGTGTGTTGAAGCAATGGATCTGGATCCAGGCAATCTGTCTCACCTTTCACCAAACATAAAACCTAAAACCCAAAAGGAAGAAAGGACTCAGAAGCTTTCTCTACCCCAATGGTGTACAACCACTTTTCCTTGAAGAGTTATCAGGCATCAACCCAAATTAGCGAACAATAGCCATTGTAACAATTGCTATTAAATCTGTTGGTAGGTTGGGTGGTAGTTATTTAGTGAAGGGCTAACGTCCTGAAAATTGTTAAAAATAAGCAATTTAATTTTTTTGCTTTTGATATGATTCCTAAATTGTGATCACACTGATTATAAAATTATGTATTCTATTTTGTTCCATAATACTTTATCTTTACTATTTCTTGTCATTAACTACTTATCAAGAGCATGAATGTTCATTCATTTACTCATTCTTTTTTTTTTTCCCCCCATAAAATAAATAATGGTTCAACTACACTGTGGCCTCTCTACTGTCTTCTCCAGTTGGCCAGCCAGACTCCCAGGCCCTAGTGGCTTTGGTGCTACAAGGCAGAAGGGACCTGGTTTCTGAAACACCAGGCTAAGTGCTGAGGATACCACTGTGTAAATGGTCAGCCGCATGGATACTATTCCTGCCCTCATGCATCTTTTTACGACTTTATGTACTTGTTTTTCTTTTTTTTCTTTTGAGGCAGCAAAAGTTCTGTTTCTGCCAGCAATTTATTTAGCATGAGTTTGTCTTGGAAATTATAGTAATTTCACAAGCTAATAGCATACAGGATACTGTTTCTTAATAAACTCTACAACTCCAAAACAAATGACAAATTAAACATACTGTTGTTCTAGGCAATAGGAGGTGAAGAAATAAAGTCTAGATTTAATATGAGGAGTACATTCTTATGAGAGAAGGCACTTAGGAGAGTTGTCTACTAAATTGCCAGGGCAAAAATAAAAGTCCCAGTTGCTAGAGCATGTTGCTAGGGAATGAAGACACCAATGTGCGTGTGTGTGTGTGTGTGTGTGTGTGTGTGTGTGATGGGGAGGCTGATCTCTTTCATAGGCTGCTGCAGGGAGAGTCTCAAATAGTTCTCAAAAACTCTCAGCATTTATAGTGCAAATGTCCATTGTAGCTTCTCCACATGTTCTTATCATAAGCCCCTGGTGGGGCCCCTTAGAAGCTGGGCTGCTGACTGCTTATCAACAACAGATGAAGAATGATGACATCCTGGCATGACTTATTTCATTCTTCTATCAAAACTACTTTTTTTTTTTTTGTCTTTGCCAGAAACAAATACAGTAAAACAACTTCACCTAAGATATAAAAAAGAGGATTTGAAATCATATTAAAACAATATACAACAGGACCGGTAGGTCCCGAAAGTTCCATGTTCCTACCATGCCTATAATCTCTCTCTAGGAGAAGTGGTCCCAGGCAGTTCTTTATCCAGAAAGCAGTTGTGCCTTTTAACCACATGCACACAGTGGAGCCAGTTCTGTTTCCCTGGTGACCAGGGACCAGTGCTTGAGCCAGAGCTACCCAATTCTGGAGAGGCAGGAGGTGAAGGAGAGATGTACAGAGAGAAGCAGACCAAATGGACTTCAGTTAGGAATGGGAACAAAGGCCAGAGACAGTGTGGTACCTAGAACAAAGAAGAGGCAACATTCAGGTTCTCCCCATGCCTATGGTACATCCCAGTGTGCAAAACATGGGAGCAGGAGGCATTGTTCTACTAATGAGGCCGTGTTGAGCATTTTCCCACTTCTCCATTTAGCAACAAAACCTATTACCCAATGGCTTTCAATTCTTTTGGGTTTGTGGTTGCAACGAAGAGGTTAGCTGTCCATCAGAAATATGTATTCTTCGCCTCATCGTCTAGAGGTGTCTCTGGGCAGCAGCTGCTCAGCCAGGGATTGTGTTCCTAGCACCTCTTGCACCTAGGTGGGACTGCAGCTAGTCACCAGCAAATGGGACTGGAAGTGATATTTGTCACTTGCAGGCCAAGATGATTAAGAGGAGACTTCCACTTTCTTTCTCTGCCAGACTCTGAGGCTCGAGGGGTGGAACAGCCACAGTTTGAAGGAGCATAGGTCCCTGAATCACTGAGTGGAGGAAAACTCCTGCTGACCAAATACTTACTGGTTTAGTAACATGGGTGAAAAAGAACCCCTGGATTTGGGGGGTTTATCTGTTACAGCATAACTAATGCAGAGTGGCATTCTTTTGTATGCTAATATTTTTGGCAGTACACTCAAAAGGATTACATTGCCTGTTTAGTAATTACACTATTATGCTGATTATACGAGCATTGTAGTATTGTTTGAGTAGAATGATTTATTGCCGATTGTTCATTCTTACATATGTCGCAGATCCTGGCAAATGCTTATGGTTTCTTAGTTTCTTCATGTGCATCACATTGTGCCCTGCACCACACAGAAACGATGTTCACTCTAGCTCAACAGTCTGTCTGCTCAGACATTGTGCTAATGTGTGAACCCCAGCTGTAGCGAAGGCAGCTTTCTCCAACAATTCAGGAGCCCTAGTAGGAGTCACAGTGGTCGGTCCTCCACGGCGCTTCAGTCGAGAAGCCCCGATTTGCAGTTGCCTGGACAAGGCATTGGCTGGCAAAAACCCAAAACAGAGCGACAAACCCCCAAGTGTGGCTCGTACACCCTAAATAGGGAAATATAATTTATTAAACATTTCTCATTTTTTTTTAACATTTAGGTTATCAT